TAATAACCCTGGTCTATCGCTGTGGAAAGTTATTCTAAGAATCCAACCTGCTCCAGAACAGGTTCAGAGACACATAACAGCACCACCCCTCGACCAATCACTTCTTGCAGAAAATTAAAATAAAAAACTTTTTTTAAAGAAAAAGAAATCAATGAAGGTGTGAGTGACAATCTTTTTCCATATGACTTTCACTGAGATGAAAGATTTCTCAGCAAAACTGAATATGTGTCTTTTATAGCCTACCGGTAAATCCGAAACGTGTTTATTTAGAGTTGTGTAAAAACTGAGCCTYCTACAAAGTTTCCTCATCTTATAACAAATAAAACTGAGCGCACAGTGCTTTAAACCAGATAAACCACTGCTCGGTTCAAGAACTTTAAACAATTTTGAGCCTAAATAAAAATAAAAACTCTCTCAYACTCATGATTCAGAAACAGACTGAGTTAATTTGTTGTTGGGGGTGAACAAAACATTTATTAAACAAGGACTGCATCTTAAATTAGGGTTGAAAGTGCAGACTTTAAATCATGAATATTTTAAATGGAATCTGGAGCTCTTGCTTTGCTTTTGTATCTGTAGCCTCTGGCTGTAAGCCGACACTCATCTCAACCCTCCCTCCCTCCCTCCTCACGCTTCCTGCCCATGAAAACCCGTTCTTCCACAATAACTCAAATGGGCTTTTGTTTCACCACGTTGTGTCGTGTTTCCACATTGTGCTGCTCAGTGAGAGTCACTTCTCCTCTCTGTGTTGCGGACAGACGGGGGGAAGACGGAAGTTTAGCTGAAACTTCTGCCCGTTTGTGCCAACGGTGAACTCGTCAACCAGAGAACGATTCAACTCGAGTTAAAGCATCAAATAACAATTTCAATTTGTGCAATATTCCAGACTTGTCCAAGCCTTCAGCTGCTGCTGCATTCTGAGTGCCCGATCAGCTGATTACACATGACACGCATAACTTTTCTAAAGCCAGATAGAAGGAAGGAGCGGGGACTTCCTGAAGCCTGACTGTAACCAGATCGTGATGTTCGAAGCGATTTCTGATACCATCTCTACGTGCCGTCGCTCCGAGCAGCCAGAACAGCTCYTTTGTCCTGAAACCGGGCTTCACCTTTGCCCCAAACGGTACCCATTGCAGGTCGAGCGAGATGAGCCGACAGGAAGCCGGAGGTCTTCGGCTATRGTCTTTCACGGCAGCAGACGTGTTCTTGGCCTGTTGTGGGGCACAGCTGCGATGTGTAAGACGCAGCTTGAGTTGCTGATCTAGAAGCATTCCTGTTTTCTTTACTCTCCGCTCGCCAAGTTTAAACTCTGTCTGTAATCTATTGAGTCATCTGAACACAAGGAACTGCTCTAAAGAGGTCTGAAATTTATTTAAATGTCCAAATATATAAAGAACCTGTGTAAAACTGCATTTTAATACACACTGTATAAAATGTAAATAAAAACAAAATGCATATATTTTATTCAGAATGAAACATTAGGTTGAAACTAAGAATTTTTTTTTTTTACATTAGATAATTTTGAGTTTTATGGTAGCAACCCATCACTAAAGTCACCACATCCAAAGTTTGGTCCGCCAATTGGTTCATTCGTCTCTTAAGCCCAAACCTCTGGTTTCTTCTTTAATTACGATAAGTTCTTTTAGTTAAACATAGACATGTTTTGTATCTACAGAAATGTCAGAATCTTGGCTAGAAGCTGGTAAAAACATTTCTATGAACACTCAAGACAGTTAAAACTACAAGCAGTTCATGATTAAACTATGAAAGTGAAAATAAAATTGGTTGAAAATTTTGGCAAGTCAGAGATATTAAAATAATATTGTGTTAAATATGAGGGAGGCATAATGTGTCCTTTTTGTTTTTGATATTGTTTTATTACTACATGTATTACATTGGGTTCTGTATGTTGTATTCATGATTAAATGCAGCAAAATAAACTATTTCAAAGGTAACAGATCTTTGTAATACTTGGTTTATTTATATAATGACTAATTGTTGGATGTTCAGCCCTTTAGCTGTTGATCTGCAGTAACTGTGGCCCCTGGAGCAATTTAGTTGAATAGCCCTGGCCTAGGCTGTAAATGTTTTAGTGTATAGTGTTAATACTACTTGTACAAACAAACAATAGCCGTGTTTCCATCCAATTTAAATTCGAATTTTGAGTCAATTTTTAAAAATTTGCAAAAAATTAAAAATCGCGAATCAGACGTGTTTCCATCTACTGGCTTGAAGCAAATCAATTACATCAGATGCATGTAAACAGGAAGTAAAAGTCGCAAACTCGCAGGGTCCACACATCTCAGGACAATGGAGAGAAGTTATCAGAAACGTGTTGCTACTATCGGGAAAGTTGTAATTATTCTGTCATATCAGCTAGTTTTGGCGATGTTACTGCTGTCTGGAGACAAAGAGAGAGAAATGCAATTGTCTCCACGTTACGGGAAAAACTGAGAAGACGCCGACAGTGGGAGGAGGGTCCTGCTGCAAATAGACAGCAGGAACAGAAGATCAACCATGTGAGGTAAATYTTCGCTAACTTACAGCAGGTAAAATAAGTATTGAACACGTCACCATTTTTCTCAGTAAATATATTACTAGAGGTGCTAATGACATGAAATTTTCACCAGATGTTGGTAACAACCCAAGTGATCCATACATACAAAGAAATCAAACCATAAATGTCCAGAAATGAAGTTATTTGTAATAATGTGGAATGGCACAGGGAAAAAGTATTCAACACACTGACTGAAATTTATCTAATACTTTGTACAAAAGCCTTTGTTGTCAATGACAGCTTCAAGACGCCTCCTGTATGGAGAAACTAGTGGCATGCATTGCTCAGGTGTGATTTTGGCCCATTCTTCCACACAAACAGTCTTCAAATSTTGAAGGTTTCGTGGACCTCTTCTATGAACTCTGATCTTTAGTTCTTTCCATAGATTTTCTGTTGGATTCAGGTCAGGTGATTGGCTGGGCCATTCCAGCAGCTTTAGTTTCTTTCTCTGAAACCAACTGAGAGTTTCCTTGGCTTTGTGTTTGGGCTCATTGTCTTGCTGAAATGTCCAGCCACGTTTCATCTTCATCATCCTGGTAGATGGAAGCAGATTTTTATCAAGAATGTCTCTGTACATTTTTCCACTCATACTTCCTTCAATTATTTGAAGTTTGCCAGTACCATATGCTGAAAAACAGCCCCACACCATGATGTTCCCACCTCCAAACTTCACTGTTGGTATGGTGTTTTTGGGCTGATGTGCAGTGCCYTTTGACCTCCAAACATGATGTGTATTCTGGCATCCAAACAGTTCAATGTTGGTCTCATCTGACCAGACTATATTCTCCCAGTATTACACAGGCTTGTTTAAATGTTGTGTAGCAAACTTTAAAGGAGCTTCAACATGCTGTTTCTTCAGCAGTGGAGTCTTGCGTGGTGAGCGTGCATACAGGCCATGGTGGTTCAGTGCATTACTTATTGTTTTCTTTGAAACAATCGTACCTGCTAATTCCAGGTGTTTCTGAAGCTCTCCACAAGTGMTCCTTGGCTCTTGGACAACTCTTCTGATAATTCTTTTCACTCCTCTGTCAGAAKTCTTGTGAGGAGCACCTGGTCGTGGTCGGTTTATGGTGAAATAATGTTCTTTCCACTTCTGAATTATGGCCCCAACAGTGCTCACTGGAACCTTCAGAAGTTTAGACATTCTTCTGTAACCGATGCCATCATTATGCTTTGCAACAATAAGGTTGTGAAGGTCTTGAGAGAGCTCTTTACTTTTACCCATCATCAGATGGTTCTTGTGTGATACCTGGCCATCATTTGGGACTGAACCAGCTGATATTAACTTGCACTGACAAGGGGCAGGCTTGCTTTCTAATTACTGAGAGAGTTCAGCTGGTGTCTTGGCTTTCCATGCCTTTTTACACCTCCCTTTCTTCGTGTGTTCAATACTTTTTCCCTGAGCCATTCTACATTATTACAAATAACTTCATTTCTGGACATTTATGGTTTGATTTCTTTGTATGTGTGGATCACTTGGGTTGTTACCGACATCTGGTGAAAATTTCATGTCATTAGCACCTCTAGTAATATATTTACTGAGAAAAATGTTGACGTGTTCAATACTTATTTTACCCGCTGTATTTGGCAAATGAGTTTTTATCTCTCCTTTTGCGCATTAACTCATTTTCAAAAAAAACCCTCAATCGAGCGTATAAATTTTTTTGCGAATTAGAGGAAGTTTTTTTCAAATCGTGCCYTTTCCATTCACCTTTTCTGATGCAATACTTCAAACTGCGCATTAAAAAAATGTTGATGGAAACATGGCTAATAACTGAAATGAGGAGCACTTRGCAACTAGGTTATTTAAAAACAGATCAATCTGGGTATAAAAAGTGAATTTTAGAGGATGAATCCCTCAGAAGTAAAGATGAGAAAAGATTTACTATGTCAAAATTTTTTAAAAAACTGCTTAGATTCAACTTTTGTGAATGAAATAAAAGTTTGAGATTCTCTGTATTTACATTTTACATAACGCTCCAACTCTTTTTGAAGTTGGGATTGTTTTTTTAATCTCTGCTTCATATTCCGAGAATCCATCCCAGAGTCTTTTTCCCCTCTAATTCAGCTTAAGAAACAACAAGATCTAAATCAAACAGTGGGCCTTTTCTTGTAGCCTTTCCTTATCAGAAGTTCACAAGTTCAGCAGCAGAAACTAAAAGATAATCTGTCCTGAAGTTTTTTCCAGTGTAGGATTTCTCTGTTAGAACGTACCAGCAGCTGGAAAACACCAAACCAGAGAGCAGGGTGAAATAAAAACAAAAGGTTTGGAGTTTGTTTTGAAGGGTTTTTTTTTCTTTTCTGGTTAATATTCCATCACATCACGCATCAGGATCTGAGCCAACAGAGAGGCTCAGTCCTCATGTGACTGAAGCTGCCAGCCAGGAATGTGAAGGCTGACTGCAGCGCTGAAAAACACACATTTATCTCCCGATTTTTCTGCTGTAATCCAAACTGAAAACCAGTTCTCTCCGTCTCAGCTGATCGGTGTAAAACAAGAGCAGCAGCACGTTTTATCTGCGCAGATGGAGCGGAAGACCATGACGGCATCGAAACTCAGACTCTCAGTGAACAGCTTTGTCGTTTTGAGATTCATTTTAAACAAACGTTTGTTAAATGAAAGGATTGTTTTTACAATGTTACTGTTAGTTTTTGGTCTCGCTTCATCTCAACTCCAGAGTCTTTTACACCAATATTCATCTACAAACACCGAGGACAAAAACAACCAGATGGATTTAGGCGTTCCACTATCTAATTCACCATTTATAGATGTGTCTTATTATAATAACAGATAATCAGTTTGACGAAAACTCACTCAAATAAAAAGCACCACGCCAACGCTCTGTTTAAATAACGAGGATATATTCGAGGTTGTTTCATTCAAAACGGACGGAAGTTGCACATTTAGGCCCACTCTGCTTTCTCCCACGTGTCACTAAACAATCAGAGTTTTCTTCTACGACAGACAGCGACAAAACCCACAAGTTGTTGAGCACAGGAGACAAAAGAATAAAAAAAACAGATACAGAACACAGAAAACACAAAATATAAATACATTTCCTGACATCCTTTATGAATTGGAATTCTACAGGAATATGATGTTATAAACTTTATTTTTAGAGTAGTTTTTTGCTCTTTAAGCCTTCAGATGGATTAACTGGGAAAGTGCTGCAGGCGTCAGACGCTAACAGCCACAGGTAGTCATCCACAATGCTTTGAGCCGTGTAATTACTTCAAAAATGTCATTATCTAACCTCAGATCTCGTCATCAGCAAAGGTGTGTCCTGTTAGTAAATGATTAGATCCAGAGGTGGAGSAAAGAACTGAATCTTAGAATCAGAAACTTCTTTTAGCTGAGAAATTTTACCTTTTAAGCAGAGGTTTATAGTAACTAAGTACATTTACTTTGTTACAGTACTTAAGTATTTTTTTGGAGGGTTTGTAATTTTACCAAGTATTTTTTTATTGTGAATTTTACTTAGTTACTTTTAAAACCTAAAAATGATATTTACTTCTTTTAACACTTGTTATCATGAAAGGAGTTGTTTATGTGCTCTGAAAAAATTAAGTGCAGAATTTACTCAACTAAATCATATCAACTATTTCCACTAAACCTAGCAGAATAAATTTGAGGTGATACACATATATTATTTTAAAGAAATTGACCAATTTAATCAACTTGGTTTTGTGGAGCCAGTTTGGTTCAGTAAATTTAAGTTTATTTATTAGAGCGTGGAAACGTACTTTTACTTTCCCAATTTTTGAACAGCTTTATGACTTTTACTTAAGTATTTTTCTTATCAGTGACATTTGTTTTTACCAAAGCCATTTACTGTTAAGGTACTTCTACTTTTACTGTTTTTTTTTCATGTACTTTATAGAGCTCTGCTTTTAAGTGAGGAATTTCAGAAATAATTTATGTTTCAGTTCTTCTCATCGGCCTGTTCCTGTTCTCATCTGCTCCTCACCTCCTCGTGGACTGCCTCCACCTTCGGGTTACTCCCCGTCCGTCTGAGGCCCGTGCTGGTCCCACTGCTCACCATGGTGGCGTCCGACTTGGACCTCTGATGGGTTCTCCTGGTCGGGGACACGAACACATCCCCCTGATCGGAGCCGTCTGGGACGGGGCCGAACGCGGAGGCTGAGGGGTCCACGTTGTTGCTGTTGTGCCGGCGGTGGCAGCGGCGGTGGGGCGGCGAGGACAGCGGGCTGTCGGAGGCCGACGCCGAAACGGATCGGGGCYCCTCGGCGGGAGGACACGGAGGTTTGAACTCGTCCGACAGGATGAGCTTTCGCAGTTTGGTGCCTCTGGAGTGACGCTGCGTGGAGATGTGCATGTCGGAGGAGTAGGCGCCCAGCAGCCAGGCCGACAGCAGAGAGAAGGTGATGCTCGATTTGCAGCGATGGATCTGAGACACAAATCTTCACGTTAACTTCCTAAAACGAAACAAGAACTTCACCTGGTGCTACTATAACTAACCAGGGTTCATGCAGGTTTCAGTAAGTTAAATTTAAGACCTTTAAGGACTAAAACAATAATTAATTTTAATACAAGAACATTAAATTATTTTAATGAAACGCTCATATCTACTTTACTCTGTTTATTTCTGCAGCCAACACTTCTCGGGAATGATTGAAAGTAAAAAAAATTAAGACTTGACTAAATTAAATTTGACTTTGGATGAAAATCTGGCTGTTTTTAAGACTTTTTTTTTAGGCCTAAAAGTTTGACTTTCAACTTTTAGACATTTTTAGACTTTTTCAGACCCTGCATGAACCCTGCTAACAGTGTGTGGACTCACCAGGTAGGGTCTGATGGCGTCCCCCACCTCCGTGTCCATGTGCACGTACATGTTCAGGAGCTGCGGCAGGTAAAAGTCCACCTCGCTGTCGGGGAAACTGAAGAGGCGGTTTCCGATGTACGCCTGCACCCCCGGCTCCTTCGACTTGTACAGGTAAGAAATGGCCATGGAGACATCAAACAGCTTGGACTCAAAGAGGCGCAGCAGCCAGGACTGTTTAGACGTCGAGGACGACTCCAAACCGGCTAAAGACGAGGGGTCTTGCTGAGTTTTAGCCACGTCCTTCTGCCTCTCGTCCTCGTTCTCGTCTTCCTCTCTGATGGAGCTCGTCTCGGGGTCGATGTGCCACTGTGGGCCACAGTGCTCCGGGACATCCGGGTAGCTTTGTTGTTGTTTTTGGTCATCTTGTTGCTGCTTATTGTCCAGCATTTTTACTTTAAGAAGCACTTCCTGGCAGGCCTTGAGCGCCACCTCKGGATCGATCACTGGAGGCAGAAAACAAACGAGTCGGACAAAAAAATAATAAAACATAACAAGACTTTGAGCGATAAACACCTGAAACGGTCACCCGCTTTGGATGTTGTCATCCAATAAATGGACATTATTAGCCGTTACCAGTCCCAAAGAATGGCTTCAGACTGCCAGCTGGTTAATATGAGGCATAAAACCACCAAGGATTTTTATGCAATCTGGTTAATAGGTTTTTTTATGCAATCTGGTTAATATGAGGCATAAAACCACTGAGGCTAATTTTAGAGAAAATGACATGGGCTATGATAAAGTAGACCGGACTCCGGCGGTAGCAGATTGTTGCATTCCAACGTAAATGGCACTGGTAACCCACTAGAAGGCACTGTCGGGACAGTCTGAAGCCATTCTATGGGACTGATAACCGTTAATAACGTCCATTTAATGGACTGATAACATCCYAACCGGCTGAAACGGTTGATTCTGAGCGACCCTCCCTCGTTATTACCTGGGTCGACGCCCAGGTCCATCTCCATGGCGTCCTCCGAGATGACGTCCAGCAGGGGACTGGGGCCCCGCTGCTCACCGCCGCTCGACACGCCGCTGCCGATGCCCTCGCTGGCGCTGCTGCTGGCGATGCTGCCGGTGCTGCCGATGCTCCCACTCGGACTGGAGCTGCGGGGGCTGGCGCTGGGGGAGGACGGCTGCTCGCCATGGGGGGGCGGGGGAAGTTGCAGCTGGGGCCGGGGATGATGATGATGATGGTGGTGGCGGTGATTGGGGCAGTCTGAGGAGCTCTCAGAGCAGGAAGATGACGACGAAGACGAGGAGGAGGAGGAGGCGCTGGAGGGCGAGGAGGGGCAGGAGAACGTGGTGGGAGATGAGGAGGATGCTGGAGGAGGTGGAGCAGAGTGGGAGGGGCTAATGTGGAGTGGTTGGAGAGCTGGGGACAGGGAGACCTCTGTGTCGGCCATTTTGGAAGGAAGGCCTACAAAATGAACAAAAAGCAAATTATTTTCCTGTTTTGTTCCTTTCCAGGTATTTACACCTGTTCTACTTCCTGTTAGAAACACTACAACAATGGGCCTCATGCAAGAACATGTCACGTCAGATTCAACAAAGTCTTCTATCTTCAGGAAAAGTGTGTAAATGAGCTGCATAAATTACACCTGTTTGTATCCAGCTGCTCGTGCACGCGAGAGGAGATTAGCATAATTACCACCCCAAAAACACCTTATAAGGCTATGTTTCCTGCCTCAGATATCAGGAAGTGTCCATTCATGAAAAATGACAGTGATAATTAAAAAGAAACACTTTACAAGTTCAGAGATTGAAGTCCGTCTGTCAGAGATCCAGAAAAGAAAATCTGTCATTTTTAGCAGGTCAGCTGTGGAATAAAAGGAGCTGCTAAAAGTATAAACAACTGTGTTAAATCATTTTCGTTTATTTAGAAGCCACACCGTCGCGCACCGTAACCCCCCCAAGAGTCGCTCGAGGGATTATGTATCCCCTCTGGGTGGAAGGTGTCGCTGGGGAGAGGGAAGTCTGGGTCTTTCTGCTCTCTGGAATGCGAAAACATTGGTGAATGCCACAAATTCTCCTAAATCACTCGTACGCATGTACGAGTGAGCTTAATGTGAATTAAGCTTTTTCCACATCTCTCATACACAAGGTTATGAGGAAACTTTTACCAAGGTATTTCTC